GTCGGCATTCCTCAAAGGCGAATCATCAGGGATATTTAGTTTTTTCAGAAGAGACATCCAACCAAGGGTGAAACCCTTGTTGCATGCCTGCTTCACTTGAAGTTCATAGGCTTCAGTGACGTCGGCCATACCTTAAGTGTACGCCTTTTCGTCAGCCTCTCTGATTTCGGCATCCTTGGTGGCCAGAGCCTCCTGAAGCTCCTTTTCGACCTGGGCCATTTTTTCCTCTGCTTCTCTCTTCTGAGACTCAACCACTTTTCTGATGGCTTCAGTAGCCTCAGCCTTCTCTTCGACATTGGTCTGGGCTTTTATTGCAGCCTCGGCTTGGTCCTCCAATTTTTTCATTTTTGATTGAAGACCTTTGTTGGTCTTTTGGAGGGAAGAGAACTCCCTCTTCATCCCAACAAGCCTTTCCCGATTCTCAAAAGACTGCATTGAGAAAGAATGGGCATGCTGGATGGCCTGAAAGAAAACAGAGGTGTTAGAGAATATTCAAAGTATGAAATAAAGAGAAAGAAAGAAGAAAATTACCAAAAGTAAAACATTTACCTGAATGGAGTGTTGAAGCATTAGAGCATAGTTCTCATACTCACTATACTGGGCGTTTCGCTCCAGATCGCCTGGAAGAAGCAGAGCGGTACTGAGTGCGACGTTGACGTTTATATCATCGGCACTATCGCTTACCATGACAGGCTTGTCTTCCAAAGTAATTGTGGGGGCCCAGCGGGCATCGAGCTTTTTTGATCCCGAAGTTATTGCAGAAGAAGACCTCAACTTTTTTGGTTATTGGGATTCTAGTGGTTGAGACTCAGAGCGCCTCTTCCCAGCAGAAGGCTGAGATTTATCACTCTCAGCCAACTTTGAAATAGATAGAGTGTCTTCAGACTCAACCTGAGCTACCTTGGCCTTTGGTTGAGCCTTTTTTATTCTTTTTGGCTTCGGTGGAGGAAGGGTTTGTGTTGGCTGCTCATCAACAGATGATGGAATACTGGCCAGAAGATCTTTTACAACAGGCTTAGGGCGACCCATCTCGGCAGAAAAGACAAGTTGTCGCCAACGTTTTCGTTCTGATATTGGGACCAGGTATGGAGTCGAAGCTGATGGCTGATCAGCTGGATCAGATGTTGATCCTTGATCTGTTCGTGATATGGATACAGTCAATGGAGTTATAGCAGAGGGTGGAGAAAGGCTTTTCTTCTTCCTTTTGGGAACGTCGGGCAAAGTTGACTTGTATGATGGAATGAAATTGAGAAGCACAGATGCTTTCCTTTTATGGACTAGTAAGTCCAGAAGTTTCTTCAAGTCCTCGCTAGGGACAAAGGATTGGCGAAAATTTTTCGGTGGCTGACAAACAGCTGTAAGAAGAACAGACGTCAGAAACAGACAAAGTATTTAAGACTTTGAAAGAAAACAGGCAAAGCTGAATATTGGGCTCTTACCCTTGCCCTCTAAAACTGATCGGGGAAGAGGGTAGAGATGGATGTCCTCGTCTGGAGCAAACTCCCCATTTCTTGAGGTAATGAGATAGTCATCTCCAGCCCCCCCTTGTTGGAGTCTGGGAGGTCGGCTACGATTTTGAATTCTGTAGACCTCGACTTAAGGTAATAAATGTAGCATTTTTCTTTCAAATTAAGGGCACACATGGTATAGCAATACTGGATATCGGCTAGGGTGATCCTAGCGTTTTCCTATTTAGCTAAGGCTATAGCACCAAAGATCACTCGATAGGAGTTGATTGCCAGTTGCATGGGGTTCAACTTATAATAGTAAAGAATCTCGCGAAAAAGGATGTTGAGTAGGAGTCGGAGTCCGCACTCAGTAAAAGCTACAATGGGAAAGGGCATGGAGTTTTTTGTAAGCATGATGGAGTCATCATCCCCAGCCAGCCTCAGATGGACATCGGCAGGGATGGAGAACTCTTGCCTAAAGTACTCAAGTTTGGTCGGTGTATCTACTCTATGTCTCCACATACCCATGATATCGGCCTGAATTAGAAAGGTTGAAATTCAGAAAGAAAATGTTTCTTATTGATGGGACCTCGGCAAATCCTAGGTTTGGGCTGGTACAGAAATTTGTAAGGAATATTTCAGTTTTGCCCTAAATCGAAGGTTCTACAAACAAATCCCAAACCTAAAACTATGAAGATGAAGATCAAAGGCACAGGTTTGGAAAAGACACAAAAAACAGAAAGCAAGAATGGAATTTTAGAATTAAAAACAGAGATGGTTTATCAAGAGCATAAAGAATACAAAAAATACAGGGTCAAGATTAGTGACAAATATGCAGGGAAATAGTGAAACAATGCGTGTGTTCAAGATATGGGCAAGGGCAAAATCATGGGAATGACACAGTTAGGTGTATGAATCGCAAATTAAAAGTTTCAACAGATGTAGCAAAGGCAACAAGTAATGAAGAATATCAACAGAATTGAAAATGAAAGGAACAATAGCTTACCAGAAAAGAGTGAAGCCGGTATGAAGATTGCCGAAGTCCGACGATGGTTGCAGGAGTAACAGAGTAGCGAAAGCTTCACCAGAAAGACGAACGAAGACAACTGTAGAGCTTGGAACTTGAGCAATGGCGGATTCGAAAGAAAGAGTTTAGAGAGAGAAAAAACAAGAGAAATCAGATGCAAAAGTAGAAAAATGAAGAAAGGGGGAAAGGTTTTATCAAAAATGAAAACGGCGGCAAAAAATAAACAATACGCCTAGAAGAACGTATACGTCAGACAGCGCACGTGAGAAAGAGACAGCTTATGGGCATCTCACAGGTACGAACCAGTAAGAAAGAAACGCGTGGTTAAAAACGGTTGAATTATGGTGTATGACAGCTCATACGCATGGAAGGGTTCTTGAAATTCTTGTTCTTTAATAAAAGGATATCGGCCAAAATAATGATCTCGGCTGAGATACTGAAAACCGACGTACTGGAAAAACGGAATAGGTTCCATCACCTCAGATCAGAATACCGAGGTAATAGAACCTAGGGGGCCAGTTGTGGGGATATATTTTTTGAGTACCAACACGTGGCAAGGTGACGCCGACATGTCAGCCGTGGTGCCACGTGTCCTGGTCGTGACGCCGAGGTGATCTCGGCAAGTTTAAGGTTATTCCCGAAGATATCGGAATCCGAGATAAGAGGATAAAAGATAAGGGACAAGAGTCCTAGAATAAAGAGGAGATTTAACCAAGATAAGGATAAAGCTCTTAGAGAGTTTATCTTTATCTCTTGAGGAGTCCAAAGTAAGTACTGAATTGGAGTCCATAGAAGTGAGGCTTCTAATGGGACTAGGATTAAGTAAACTATAAAAGAGAGGCACCCCCGTGGGTCTAAGGTACGCAATTTATGCTTTTGATACTCAAGCTTGTGAGTTTAGCACTTGATTCATCTTTGAGAGATATACTGACTTGATCGTCGGAGTGCCCTCGGGTGGACGAACCACCGCCGGAATCTTCTCTTTCTGTTGCAGGTCAGTCAAGTGCCATCTATTCTGTTGGTGCTCTCTAGCTGGTTACTAAGCGGGCAGTGTGGTCAGAAAATCACCCACACAATAAGGGTTAAACTACCAAAAACATTAGGAAATTGATTTCAGACGTCTTGTGAGTTGCTCGAAAAAGTCAACAAAACAACATTTGACAACAATATTTTAAAAATGTCACTAATAAATGCAAACAAAACAATTTGAGCCAAAAAATTATTTTTCTTACGCAAATTTTGGTCTCAAAAGTATATTGTACCAGTTTCATAGCTAAAATCAAAATACACTTTTGATAATTAAATTATTTTGTCCTGGATTATTTATCTTTAAAATCTTAATTTGTTGTACCACTACGAGAATTAACACTTTTGCCGACCAAAAAATTGGTCGCTAAAAGCCCATTTTTGGTCGGCAAAGGTTATCCGCGACTAATTTTTTTGGTCGCTACTTTGGTCGCCAATTGAGGGTCGACAAAAGTAATTCGCGACTAAAATTTTGGTTGGTCGGCAAAAGTTGAATTTGCCGACTAAATTTTTGGTCACTAAATATTTAATTACCGCGACTAATTCATTTTGTCGCTAAAACACTTTGGTTGCGAAAAGTGATATTTTTCCGACCAAATATCTTAGTCGCCAATTGACACATTTTGCGACCAAAAAATTTGGTCGCCAATTATCACATTCAATGACCAAAAAGTTTGGTCGCCAATTGTGACATTCCATGACCAAAAAATTTGGTTGCCATTTGTTACTTTTCGCGACCAAAACTTTTGGTCGGCAAAAGTGAGTTTCCACGACCAAGAGCCGTTTTGGTCGGCAATAGATGTATTTTTTGCGACCAAAACTCTTGGCCGGCAATTGTCATTTTTTGTAAAAAAAAATTATTTATTTCTCGCGACTAATAAATTGGTCGCCAAAGCAGAAAAGCAATACACCTGTAATTCCTAATAATTCATTCAATCCATAATAAACCTATATTTTTAAAGCATCATTCAAATCAACTAAATCATTAACATTTGACACAATACAACTATTCTAAGTTTTCATTCACAAGGCACATCCATCTAGCATAACAATTTGAAACATAACTATTTGTTATCCATGCGCAACTATCAACAAATGAAAAATATATATTCTAGTCCAAATGAACAAAAATCAATCATATTAGTGAAACCAATCAGTGCACTATGCTTGAAATTGTGAATCAGCTTGATGGATTTGATCTTTAGATATCTCTGTAAATCTCAAGCTCGAGCTTACCAGATTCAATCTTTGCTTGGTCCAAAAGCTCATTGATTAGTGAAACCAGCGCTCTTCCACTGCCCTGTGCAGTTCTGACATAGTCTTGTTGAGTTACATCCAGATATGTGTCCATTAGCATCTGTAACATTCCTGTTGAATAAACATATATACAGACATCACTCAACAACCCCACTTTCTTTGTTTATTTTTAAATAATTTTTTAATGTTTTCCCTAAAGCAATGTATTTAAATGACTTAAAATGCAAAAGGACAATAACAAAAACTTACCAAGAACACCATTCATTGGGGTTCTGATCTCATGGGACACAGTAGCAAGGAACTACGGAGGATTGAAATTCAATTAGAACCATGTAGACATATTAGGTGAAGCCTAACAAAATTTCAATACATGAACTACAACTATCAAATACCTGTGATTTAGCAACATCAGCTTCCTCTGCTCGTTTCTTCAGCTCCATCATCTCATGGTAATCATCCTCAATTTTGGCTATTCGATTCACTGTTGCGTTGATTATATGCCCAAGAAGCAATGCAATTACGAGGATACCAATTGAAATCATCATCGCAAACCATTTAGTTTCTCATACCGTTGGTTTTTGTTTGAATCTGCTTCAAGAACAAACTTAGTTGTAAGTCCATTTTATCACTTTGAATCTCAACCTAAGAACTCGCATTGACCCTTCTAAAATACACAGTAACATATAGGATTAAATAGATCACCTGCAACGCATCTCATGTTTTCTAAACGGGTCACCAAAGTTAAGTGTACTAACATGTTATAACCTATCATTTGATATATTCAAGCCATACATGCTGATAGGGTGCGAAAAGTTGGTGGTATCATACACATTCACAAGTATGGTTTGTTTGTTTGCAAGTTGTTGAAGCAATTTCTCCACATTTGATTCGATATTGAAGACTCCGCCAAGGTACCCGCTTGGCAGTAGTGAAACATTAAATGAAGTTCTTATCTAATTCAATCTTTCTGATCTTGTCTGCATCCTGAAATTTCTAGCCGCACTCATTATTTATAGCTAAGACAGTACATTAACTCAATTAATTCTATTTTACTTTGCGATGACCTCTAAATTTGTTTTATATTTTTTAAATACAATTTATTTTATGAATAGGATCAGTTATACAATTGTCATCATTGTATATTTATTTATTTCTTCTCTTCTCTATTCCCCCTTAAGGAGCTAATGACAAGTTTGATTTTTGGGCAGACAACATACCCATTAGTTACTTGAATCCTCTCACTTGATGTTGCATTTGAGGGGAGATCTGTCTTGTAGACAGCAAAAGTCAATATGACTCCCAGGCGATTTGATTTGAGTAACCTGAAAGGAGCAGTGAGAACCCCTTTTCCTGATTCTCTTGCGCGCAGCACATTTTGCACAATCTTCCTGTTGGTACACAAGTTCAAGACACGAGACATTCTAAACATCACTAGAGGTCCCATTCATCAAGAGGCAGCATTGGAGCATAACTAAACCCAGCTTAAAAACAAACATGGAGCTCTCTTGAGATAGTTCAGTGAAAGTTTGCTCTGTTTCCAGTTTTAGTAAAGCATCTTGAGGTGGAGATTTAGCCTTTGGTCTACAGAATATAAGTACATTTGAGTGGTAGACTACTAAAAGGAACAATCAACCAAAAGAAATTGAGTCTAGCATGAAGACAAATTATATATTTAAAAAGCATGGTCAACCCTTTAATAATTACCTAATAAGTTCATAAACTTCAATAATTAATAAGTTTTAAATTTGGTATTGTGGTAGACGATTAATAATTCAATTTGTAAGAGAATAATTTGTGTTGATATACTGTTAGTGAAGCAAAAAGACAAAAGTTTGATTTTCAAGATAATTTTTACACATTTCTAAACACTTTTACATATTTCTATACACTTTTACCAATTTCAATACACTTTTTACACATCTACCAACATTAATGACAACCCTATGGGCAGTCGTTAACATTTTCCATTGAAGTGAATGAAAACGTGCAGTCTTTAGTTGCAGTCCATTGAAGTGAATGAAAACGTGCTTACCATACCCAGGCACCAGTGTATAATTTTGATATAATATAACAGTGACCATGTAATCAACAAAGAGAGAGAGAGAGAGAGAATGTCAAAAAGGGGTTAAGAATTACCCGCAACCAAATTAGCTAATCCAACAGTGTTTAAAGCCAAACACCCGGGAATAGGGATAAGACTTAATTTTTGACAAACCCACAAGCATATAATTAGTTTTTGACCATTGTTGGGTATAAATTATGTAGTCCTATAACCCCAAAAAAACACTAGCAAACAAACTTGCGAAGCCGAAAAACCCAGTTGGCAATGCGGTCAGTTTAAATTTGTATACTCAAAAAGACTCAAAATTTTCAACCCTAGTCACTAGATCCCCATAACCAATTCCAGTCACCACTACGAGGATATAAACATACAAACATATATACATACATATATATATACACATAATCAAAGTGATAAGAAAGGAGGAGGAGAGTATACCAGTGCAGATCCAGTCGCCGATACGGGGGAGCCATTTAGAATCGGCGGGGGTTTTGGTGTCGACGAGAAGGCGGGGCTGCTTATATCGGTTGCAGAAGGATCTGAAGGCATAGTTGCGGTTCTTGCATCCACCGCACTCCCAATCCCCTTCTCTCCCTTCTCTTCCCATCTTCTCTGTAACTCTCTCTCTCTCTCTGAGGATTCAGGGCCACAGGATTTTGGCCTTTGCCTCCCCTTCCTCCACGACCACCTGACCCAGATCGACCTCCAATAGGTGTATAAACCTTCGAATCAGCCATACCACCACCAACTCCATACGATTAAGCCGTTAGGGTAGAAACTGTTAGGGTAGAAGCTGTTAGAGTATACCAGAGAAGATTTAGGGCAGAAGCTGTTAGGGTTGAAGTTTCCTCTTGGATAAGATCACACGGGATCAGAAACTCCCGATCCACACTAGACATGGAAGCCTTCATACGATTAAGCTCCTCTCTTCACTCCTCAAAGGGCTTCGACTGAGTAACTCGCCGAAACGAATCCCCCTGTGCAACCTCCACCGAAGCTAACCCCAACGATGCAACCCCTTTCTCTCTTTCATTCATCGCGATAATATCACTCATCAACCCTTCCATAGATTGCACAAAGGAAGAAGGGTTCAAATCGGCCTCACATACACAAAGGCTACTCACTGGATTTGCCTTTTCTTATTTTATATTTTTTTTGTTTTCCAGGTACAAAACCACGTCGTTTTTTGATTGGCGACCAAATTTTTTTGATCGCCAAAAAATTTCATTTCCCCCCTCATGGTTGTTCAAATTTCCCTCCCAAACTTTTGGTGACCAAAAGACCAAATTAGTCGCAGAAAAAGTACCTTCGCTGACAAACTTTTTTAGTCGCCAAATCTCAATCAATGGCGACTAATATATTAGTCGCTAAAAATACAAATTTGGTGACTAATTTTTTTTGGTTGCTGAAAATAAGTTTTTGGCGACCAAATTTGTGGTCGCCAAAAAATATGTGACCTTCCACGACCAAATTTGTAGTTGGTCGGGAAAAGTATACCACTTTCTGCGATCAACTCATTTTTTGGTCGCCAAAATATAACCTTCTGCGACCAATAACATTTGGTGGCCAAAAACAATGATCATTCGCGACTAATTAATATTTGGTCGCTAAATGTCATTTTTTTGCGACTAAAATTTTTTTGGTCGACATAAGTGGTCGCCAAATGTGTAAATTCTTGTAGTGTACCCCGTTGATAAAAACAAACTTACTTAGATGGTAAGATAGAAATAATTTTTAGACTAAAATCTTAAAACACCATACCGCCACCACCGCCATCGATGCCTCCACGGCTTCGACCACCACCACCCTACTATCTCCTCTCACCACCATACCAAAACTGTCACTAATACAATCACTAACAAATTTTGTTGGGTGAATACACAAACACATTAATTCTGAAGTCATGATCAAATATAAAAGGAGGTATGTTTTACAGTAAATAAAAAATTATTTGTCACATAGAAACTCTTGCCTCTTAACTAGTTTTGCTGAATACGCATTGTACCTAGCTAAACTTTACTATCAAGATTTTTTTTCACCTTGATGGAGAAGTTTTTGAAATATTGTTTAGTGGGGTGAGTTTGCCTATTTTTGATGTAGCTCTTGCGAAAACTCTTAGAGTTTGTTTAGGATGTGGGTTGACTTTTTGGCCTTTCGGCTTTTTGGCTATTTTAGCCTGGGACAAAAAAGCCTCGTTTGGGATGAATTTTTTAGCTTTTTTGATTTTTGTGAGAGAAAAAATATAATGATTATGAGTTGGATGTGATGTTTTGTTTTATTGGATTAAAAAACTTGTTTTGCTTCTTTGTGACTATTTTAGTCAAAAAGACTAGGGCTTTTTCTCTCTTAGGCTACATTTGGGACACAACAATCAATATATTTGGTATAATTTCTATTTATAATTATAAATTTTAATTTGTTGAAAACTGTACCAAATAAATCTAATATATCGTTTTCTTTGGGGAGGGTGTATCTTTGATAAGAGTAAAGTTAATTGAGAAATTGGTCATGCACGTGTGGGGATTGAGAGAGACATTGATTGAATTATATCGTTTTCTTTAAGTGCTTTAAATGAAGAATTTGACCAAAAGATTTCAAATTAACCATTGATATCTCCAACTTTCTGTTGGGTTATAAGGATCTCTTTGTATACAGATTACAGAGTTTTCATGATGTCCAATAGATTTACCTTGTAAACTCCCTTTGCTTCTGGTATGTTTAGAAGATGAGTCACTGATATGCACTTTGGTACTCTTTGATAACTTTCATAGGGTATTCCAAATCAATTACCTGTTTCAGTATGGCCATGGCTTGTTGAAGGAAGTAAGAGAAAAGGAATGGAGATGAGAGGGAGGGGATAATGCACACTGGAGGAGAAGAAAGAAAGCAGGGGAAGGAAAAAAAAGAAAAAAAAAAGAAAAAGCGGGAAAAAAATTATTTCAGTTTGTTTTGGCAGCATTTGTCAAACATGCTTAAATTGGTGTCTGTCATGCACGCTCCGTTAAATTTAACAGAATTTGTTACCTTTACGCTTCATACCAAATTATAAAAGAATTATGTGTATATTTTTTAAATACGAAAAAATGATGTGCTTTTATATTAAACCACGAGAACATAAAATGTAATTAACTCAAAAAATAATGACAAATTCAAAACAAATTTTCGTTACTTTCTTCTTTCACCTAGGCCTTTGGTCACCGGCCATGTTAAAAGTATAATTGGCTATCACACAAGTCATTTTGAAAAGATTCTAGCTCTAGCTACAATGGTTTTGAATTTCCAAATGTCACAAAAGAACAATAAAAGTCCAGGGTTTCAGAATTTGGGCCTACATTTATATTGAGAATTTGAATATGTGGTGGAGATTGGATGAATGTATTATGGGATTTGTAAAAAAAATGTGAATCAATATTAACATTTCTGAATTCTTATCTTTTTATTTTAGTTATGGATGAGTTGATAAGAAATATTCAAGATGATATGTCATAATGTCTATTTTTTACAGATAATATCATATTAGTGGATGAGACTAAAGAAGAAGTTAACACTAAGCTGGAGATTTGGAGATAAACACTTCAATCTAAAGGATTTAAGGTAAGCAGAACTAAGACAGAGAATAAGGAGTGTAATTTTAGTAACAATAATAATGGAAACAGATGAGAAATGAAGATTGAGAACCACGAACTACTTAAGAGTAAACATTTTCGTTATTTATGATCAATTATCACAACAGCTGGGAAGATTAGAACACGCGTGATTCATAGAATTAAGACGGGGTGGCTTAAGT